GAGGCACCCAGGGGTGTCCCCAGTGTTCCCGCTGCAGCCAAGAAGGGCTCCGGGTGCACAAGGGAGGAGAGCTGGGAACTCCAGGGTGGGGGATGGGGGTGCCCTGGGGCCTCCCGGATCCTGTGAAGGTCGTGAAACAGAAGGGGCAGGAACTCCGCTGAGCATCCACTGTTCATTACTGATGCCAAAGCAGCGTCAAGGTGGGAGAAGAATCTGGGGAAGAGAAATGTAAGACAATACCCAGAGGACGAGACTGGGGCGCAAGGAATGGATGGATGAGCGCCAGGAGCTGCTGCACGGCCCAGAGTCAGCCTCTGGGCTGAGAGACCCCACACGAAAATACGAAGCCTACCCCATGTGCCACCAACGTCATGATGATTAAGACTGCTAAATTCCAAAGGGCTGAAATCTTCACAGGTGTGTGTTTGGACTCGACCACCTAGCAGGCAGCAATCTAACGGCGGCCTGGAATCTAACATGGAGAAATAAGACAGCCCTCCCGGCACACAGAGTGAATTCCAGTGTGCGGTGGGGAGTGCTAGGGAGAGGCAGAGGCTGTGAGATGCTTCAGGGGGAGTCAGCCAACCACACCCAAGAGGGGCTGCCTAGAGGAGACGCCCTGGGTGCAGCTCGGAGGACAAATTAGAGGAGAAGGCTCAGCTATCTGAGAGGGCGCAGCAGGAGCAAATGCTCACAGCTGGGAGACAGCCTACTGGGGTGCAGCTTGTCTTAACCAGACAAGGACGGATGCACACCTACCTGACAGGGAGAGACAGCAGGAGGGGGACCCCGGCACCGCCCAGAGGGGCCGAGATCAGAGGAAGCCCTTTCAGTACTAACCCACTTCCCCCCTTCTGTTCCAGGGGGGGTTCTTCTTTAGTCTGTTTCCCCATTTGTCCACATTTAAAACATGATTTCCTATCTGTGCATAGTCAGAGGGAGGGAGGGGAGAAGGAAATTATCAGCCTGAGATACAGAAATCAATCCAGACGAACCCTGATAAAGAGTAACAGTTCTGTCAAACAGCAGAAGACATACAAGTCACAAACTGCCTCTCCCTCATAGCTCCGACCACACTGCCCAGTGTGGCCGCTCCAGGCACCAGGAAAACTGGGATTCTGCTTAGCCTGGCTGGAGACACACTGGAAGGGCAGTATACACACAGGGGTTGGAAAACTCAGGAACCAAAGCCGGGACAGTAAGTGTAACATGTGTCATTAGTTTCTTGTAATGGGTCGCACGTAGAAATGGTAATATTGTGGACATAATGAAGCAAAATGCCTCACTAAAAATAATCGCTCCTCTCGGTACTTTTTTCACTGACTACCAGATAACCTTAAATGACCAGTGCAGCTCCATCTGCATCTGTTGGGCAGCACGCACACAGCCCTTTCTTTCCCTCTCTTGTTCAACCCTTGGACATATTAAAATGAAAATAAAGTCCTCATAGAAACCAACAAGACCTCTTTCTTGGAGAAACATACAAAAAAATGGTGCCCCGAAGAATTGCTGGCTTCATCCCGGCCCACGCCAAGTGCAGCAGCTGCAGAACTGTGTGCACAGCTGTAGAGGGAGGGAAAGACAGCGCGGGGCACTGCCCTGCAGCAGTGGTACAGTGAGCCCTGTTATCTGCTGGCAGGGTTGCGTCTGCAAAGCCATCATTCAGAAATCCACAGTCTTCTTGCTCAGCTTCTCACCTCAGCAGCTGGCGATTCCGATGAGCTTCCATTCTGCAGGAAGTAACCTTCCACCCCAACTGTACCCCGAGCCGGATCGCCAGCACCGGCGGCCAGGACACAGAGAAGCAGGGGTGGGGAAGCACAGTGAGCTCCCTGGCCCTCGGCGCTGCATCACGTGCCCCTGCAGAGGCCAAGGCATCGGTGACTGTTTGCATCTGTGATACTGACACATGGTCAGCAAGAGATGCAAGAACATCACAACAGACTCCACAACCTTTCACCCAGATTCCCTGTTCACGTCTTACCACCCTGGCCGCCTCACCGCTTCTCTCTGCTTCTGTGCGAGATCCTTCTATGTGTGCTGCAATCTTAGACAAGAGTGCTTCAAAGTTGGTGCACAAATGAAATGGAAAGATAATGAGCATTTCTAGGGCCTTTTACAAGACCCTTCATATGGTAAATTTTAAAACCATTTGCGGATAAGTTGCAGAAATGATACACTTCACACCGACATGTTTTCATCATTTAAAAAAAAAGACATAACCTCTATTATAATCACCAAAATCAGTACATTAAGAGCAATATATTTGTACTTTCTTGTCTACAGACATTGAAATTTTTCCAGTTGTTCCAATGATGTCTTTCATAGAAGGAAGGAGGGGGAGGGGAGGGAGGCAGGTAGGAGGGAAAGGAGGGGGGGGGGACTTTTTTTCTGTTCCAAGATTTCATGTGGACCAGTAACAGCACTTGCGTGTCACGGGCGTTTGTGGTCTTCATGATGGAACAACTCTTCACTCTTTTCTAACTTCTATGACCTGGTAGCCTTTAAAGAGCAGAGGCCAACTTTTTGTGGAAGGTCCCTGAGATGCGGTCTGAGTGCTCCTCATGATGTGACTGTTTCAAGTCCAGGCTGAGACGTCAGGGAGTCTCGCTGTGTCCTCCAGGGCAACAGAACACTGGCCTCATTGTCCCGCCACAGGTGCAGTTTCTTGACTGCTTGGTTAGGACGAGCATTTGCTAGGTTTCTTCCCAGCAAGTCCTACGATTTTCCTCTCGTAACTAGCAAGCATTACGTAGGTAATTACTCTGAAACTACACAAATGTCCTGGCTATCATCAAACTCAGGCTCATCAATGTCAGTATGCAGTGTTCATTTTTGCCTAAATTAATTTTTGTTTGATGCTCGCCAAATCATTTTTCTAATTAAATCATTCCTAAATATTTATTAGGAGACATTATATAGTAAGAAAGAGAAGGACCTTCTGCCCTACTTAATTTATTTTAATGTTAACATATACTCATGGAATCTTATTTAATATAGTGTTTGATAATCTGCCACTATGACTTCTTACTTTGACAAACAAATCATCCCACATTTTTTTCAGTGAGCCCACATCAAGCTTGCTCCTGGGTCCTTCTGAGACACTCTCACCAGATCTGGAATAACGCCTTCATTTCTAGAACAAGCTTTCCCAGGGCTATCTGGGACGTGCCCTGCGCAGCGCTGCAGTCAGCTCCTTCTCCACTGAACGTCAATTCTTTGAGGTGAGTGGCAATTCATATTTAGAAACCAAGTGCGTGTCACATGTGTGCTTGTTACTACTGGGAAGGCAATGCTTCTCGACCCTTGCGGCCACCAGGGCTGAGAACTCAGGAGACAGACGAATGTGTTCACATGTGCCCGCACAGAGCTGTTCTTCACAGCCCAACCGAGATCACACACAGCATGCCCAGTGCTCCCGTCTCCCATGAAATTCAGAGTGAGTGTGTCACGTGGCTCCTATCTGCTGAGAGGTCTACATTTTTATTTAAGATCATTAGAGATAATTTTCAAACAGCATTTGATTAAATTGCTGAGGTTCCCCATAGACCACATACATGTCAGTACAGAAGCCTGATATATGTATACACTGTAGAACGGCTGAATCGAGCTAAGGAGCATACACATTACCACGGTACTCTGTCTTCCACCCCTGTGTCCCAGCAGATTCTTCACGCACAAAAGCTCAGGTGCTATTTGTCTTTCTGTACCTGGCTTCTTTCCCACGACACAATGCCCCTATTATTCTGTTTCCTTATTAATAAATCCCTAATTGTACCAACCAACCAGTTCATTGAAAAGCTTCAGTCATGCCCCAAACTGTGATGGAAAGATAATGGATCTCCAACAATGAAGAAACCATCATGACAGTGATTACCTATGGTTTATACTTTCAAAGAACGAAAGCAAGAAACATGTGCTGAGAAATCCCTACACTTTATCTCCTTCAAATGTCTTAACTGTCACAGAACATACTAGGCTGTACAGGGCTGGCAGGGATTTGTGCCACTCATAGGTGAGTAAACCCACAATTCCTGGGAGTCATGGAGCTGCCCCACAGATCCATGTCTTCAAAGTCCTTGCATTTTACCAATATTTGCATTCACTGGGATACAGCCTTATTTTAAGACCCCGGTGAAGAAAATTTAGTTTAGTATTAACATCCAGCTCTGAAGCCTCCTGACTGTTCACACCACCAGCATCAGAGAGAATGCGATGATATAAATGCTGTCCCGGTCATGCTGTAGGTCTACTACGACCTGAAGAGGATATTAAAATGGCTGCACAGTTTTTTCCAAACCATTTACAGCCCAGGGCTCCTGGCACAGCCCACAAGGAGTTTGCAAATATCAGAGAGGGGCTTGTTTGAGTCACATTCCTTTCTTCTCCAGCAGAGTTTGCTTGCCAGATCTCCCTTACAGACTGGGGGAAGGCGGGGTCGGGGGAGGCTTTTGTGACACAGATCTGCTGCTGAAATGACTACCCATGGTCCACTGTGAGTATCTCAGGCCCACTCCCCACACTGCAGTAGCAGAAGCAGGTGCATCGCATATTTAACTATTACCACTCTTGGCTGTGTGGCTTTCCACCATAATTCATGTTTATGCAATTAGAAATACTGGAGAGGAAGCAAGTATGTCTCCCAGGAGAATGCTGGCTGACTACCAGCAACAAACAATCAATGATGGCTCTAACCTGGGGAGGGGAGCCTCCCAGGCTTTGAGGGAGTTGTCTGTTATCTGAGAATAAGTCAGAATGATACCCAGGAACAGAGAGGGCCACCCAACTGGAGGAAGAGGCTAATTGGGAATTTAGAAGGTGGTGGCTCCCATCTCTTAGGGCAGCTTAGCAGTCCTGCAGCCTGACCAAAGGAGGAGATGAAACCATGCCCTCGTCTCCTTGATTAATACCTTCCCACGCATCCGTCTCCATTGCCCCAAAGACCGAGTTAGTTAACTGCTATGGAAGAGGAAAGCGTCAGAACAAGCAACTGCACTTACCTGGATCAGAGACAGGTCTTCCAGTTGCAACCTGAAGAGGTAGTTTCTAGAAAATACAAAAAGAGAGCAGTTTTAATCAAACAAACAAACACAAAATCCAGTTCACAGAAATTATTAGAACAAATGAGGGAAAAATACTTAATGATTTCAACTTCAGAACCCTTGTCCAGTTAAGAATATGTGCAGGGGCCAGTGCTGTGGCATAGTAGGCTAAGCCTCCACCTGCAATGCGGGCATCCCACAGGGGCACCACGTCCAGCTCCAGCTGCTCCTCTTCCAATCCAGCTCTCTGCTGATGGCCTGGGAAAGGCAGTATAGGTGGCCCAAGTGCTTGGGCCCCTGCACCTACGTGGGAGACCCTTTAGAAGCTCCTGTCTCCTGGCTTTGGATCAGCCCAGCTCCGGCCATGGCAGCCACTTGAGTAGTGAACCAGTGGATGGAGACCTCTCCCTCCCTATCTTCCCCTCTCTCTATCTGTAACTCTCCCTCTCAAATAAATAAAATTTTAAGAAAATAAAAGAATATGTACAGGAATTTTCCTTGAACCCTAGAAACTAGACATGCATTATGTCAACAAGAAAGCTAAGAAACGAGAGGATGTCTGTATGTGTAGGTGTGTGTGCGTGTGCATGTGAGTGTGGGTGGGTGTGTGTGAGCCTAAGTCAGTACTGGCTCTCCCGAGCTCCAATGAAAGAGACCAAGAACCTAGGGTATCATTTGATTCTGACACTGAGTTTAGCATAGGAGGTGACAGAAAACTCTCCGTGCATCTTTACTCTTCCTCATCACCTGAGCTCCCCGTCTTCTCATCTACATTATGAATACAACCCTTGCTGAGTGCTGCAGTACGCGAGCGTGTGGACAGACTTCATGTACAGCAAACTCAGAGACATGAACTTGTCAGTGAGCCCACATGAAATCAATACCAGACACAGCTCTGCTGCCCAAGTGTGAAACAGGAAATCAGAGAAAAGAAAACTACCTTTAGTCAGCAGGGGAGGGGAATGACAGTGGAGATCAGCCGAGCACAGAGAGAAGGAAAAACAGACACTGCTTGCATTAGGCTTCGGCTACAAACCAGCACAGCCTTTGGAAACAACTAAGGGGCTGCCCTCTCAGGATGATGTGTTGGCCTCTCTGAGGCCAGGGACTCCTCCTGGGGTGGCAGCATCCAGGGACAAGGGAGGAGAGGGGCCAGGTCTGGAACAAGCATGGCAGGAAGAAATTGGCGTAGGGCAGAACACCGACCCTAAGTCATGAGTGAGTGTGGGGAGGCGCCTGCGAGAAGCTGACAATGGCTCAGTCTGCGGCTGTGTCTACCACACTTAGAGACCATTTGCACGACCACTAAGAAGCACAGGTGACTTCCTCTCTGATGGAAGGGATAAGTATCGCAGGCTGGACATGCTAACCCAGCAGAAGTTGACAAGCAATGGCTCAGTGAGGTCAAGGGCACAGGCTTTGCAAAGACGAAGCAAGAGGCCTGTGGTTGTGGATGGACATGGGCAGATCAGGACGGAAGCAGATACTCAGTGGCATGTGTACACACACCATGGGGGACGAAAGGGATGACACGCACTCGTAGCGGTCTCGTGACTCCAGACATCCCCCCGTGTCCTCCACACTGGGATCCTGTGCTCAGTGAAAACTGCTTCCCCTAAGCCTTTGCTTGGAGCCTCTCGACCACAGAGTCACCAGCGTCGCTTCTAGAAGCATGGCTTAGCTCAGACCACGCCCTCCACAATGCCACTTGGGGAAACCCCTCCCTTTCCTTTATCAGGACTGAGTGACAGCTCTGTTTGTGGAGCCAGATATAGAACCCTGGGGGAGGAGGGAGGGTATGGCAGGAGAGCAGGGCACCACGAATGTGCAAAGCTCCCAGCAGCAATGCCACTGGCGGGGTGGCAGCATGGACTCGGTGCCCATGTGGGAGAGCATGATCAAGACGCCATGGTAAACCTGCACAGGCTGGCTGGCTGGCACCTCCAGGCTCGCCAAGCACTCAAATGTTGGGAAACGGAAACCAGCACACACGTCCTCAACACATACACACACAGCTACATCCTTGAAGTGGGAGGCTCCAAGTGGCACGAGAGTCAACTACCGGCCATAACACACCAACGGCCTGTGTAAGCACCTCAACTTCTGCCTACACACCATGACCCACATGGCTTGCCGGCTGCAAGAAGTCTCTCCTCACAACAGGAGACATCACCGCCTCGTGGTTAAGACTAAAGTGTGCAAAAGCTACAGCTCTACCACCATGACCTTGAGAAGGAAGGTCAACCACTCTATGTCTACTGTTTACCTGTTACAAAATGGAGTTAGTAATCATATCTATCCCCTTGGGTCATTGTGGGGTGTAAATCCAAGGAAAACAGATACTATGGTATATGACCATTTTAAGCAACAATAGCAACTTCCAGTTCATTTATGGAACAGGATTAAAATTTCTAGCTGGTGCCATGGCTCACTAGGCTAATCCTCCGCCTTGCGGCGCCGGCACACCAGGTTCTAGTCCGTCGGGGCGCTGGATTCTGTCCCGGTTACTCCTCTTCCAGGCCAGCTCTCTGCTATGGCCCGGGAGTGCAGCAGAGGATGGCCCAAGTCCTTGGACCCTGTACCCCATGGGAGACCAGGATAAGTACCTGGCTCCTGCCATCGGATCAGTGCAGCGCACCGGCCACAGCGGCCATTGGAGGGTGAACCAACGGCAAAGGAAGACCTTTCTCTCTGTCTCTCTCTCTCTCACTGACCACTCTGTCAAAAAAAAAAAAAAAAATTTCCAAGCACGCTGAAATTCACGGCATTTTCCCCATTGCCCAGGGAAAGGAAGAGAGGCCGTGCCTTCAGCAATGACCAGTTAAGAAGGAATATGAAGCAGTTCTTCCTGCCTGTTCTTTGTTGGGGTTGTTGTCTACAGGGACTGCAGTGGAGCTACTGGGCTTTTAGAAAAGTGAACAGTAGGGGGGCCACCTGCAACCCCAGTATCCCACGCAGGTGCCAGTTCAAGTCCCAGCTGCTGCACTTTCCATCCCGCTCCCTGCTAATGTGCTTGGGAAAGCAGAAGTTGGTCAAAGTCCTTGGGCCCCTGCACCCATACGGGAGGACCCAGATGAAGCTCTTGGCTCTGGCTGTGGCCGGCCCCAGCCCTGGCTACTGCAGTCATTTGGGAAGTGAAACAGGGGTTCAAAGACCTCTCTCTGCCTCTCCCTCTCTTTGTAACTCTGCCTTTCAAATAAATGAATCTTTTATTGAGGGTAGAGTTACAAGCAGTGAAAGGTAGAGCCAGAGAGAGAGGTCTTCCATCTACTGGTTCATTCCCCAAGGGGCCAAAACAGGCGGAGCTGAGCCAACATGAAGCCATGAGCTTCTTCTGGGTCTCCCATGCAGATGCAGGAGCACCAAGGACTTGGGCCATCTTCTACGCTTTCCCAGGCCATAGCAGAGAGCTGGATCAGAAGTGGAGCAGCTGGGACTCGAACTGGCGCCCATATGGGATGCCAGCACTGCAACCAGTGGCTTTACCTGCTATGCCACAGCACCGGCTCCTACCATATTTATTACAGTTTTCAAAGGTTTAAAACATACTTTGGGGTGGGCACTGGTGCAGTTAAGATACCACTTTAAAATATGCCCTTTGGTATATCCACATCCCAACTCAGAGTGCTTGGGTTTAAGTCTCCCCTCCACCGTCAATTCCAGCTTCTTATTAATCTACAGCCCAGGAGGCAACAGGTTACGGGTAGGAGGCTGAGTCCCAGACATGCATATGGGAGACGTGGATTGTGTTCCCAGCTCCTGGACTTTTGGGAGGTGAACGAGCAAACAAATGGAGTATGTGAGTCTTTCTCTCTTCTTCCCTCTCCTACCCTCTCATTCTTCCTCTCAAATAAAATAAATAAATTATGTCCCTGGAATGACCAGTATTGTGGTACAGCAGGATATGCTAATGATGCTGGCAACCCATATGCCAGTGCCAGTTTGAGGTCCAGCTGCTCCTCTTCCAATCCAGGTCCCTGCTAATGCACCTGGGAGAGCAGCAGAGGATGGCCCAAGTATCTGGGCTCCTGCCACCCACATGGGTGCCCTGATGCGCTTTTATGTTCCTGGCTTTGGCCTGCTCCAGCCCAGGCCTTTTAGGAATTTAGGGAGTGAGTGAACCAGTGGATGGAAGATTCTGTCTCTCTCCCTCTCTCTCCCTCCCTTTGTCACTCTGCCTTTCAAATAAAAAAGTCTTTTTAAAAACTGAAAAAGGTGACATCAGAAATGAAACACTTGTGGAACTCTACCCAGCTTCCCGGATCCTAAGCATCGGACAGAACAAAGTGTGGATTTTGCTATTCTCAAACTCCTTTCTTCAAATGATTTTGTTCCAAGTACAAACCCAAGCTCATTTTGCTCTAAGAAAAATTCCAAACCCGCCAGCAACTCGAGAGATCTGAAATCTCTCAAGACAGCTTGATCCATCACAGTTTAGTTCCACGACCTGCAAAGTTAAAGGTTACAAAAAGAAAAGAAAATCCTCTCTAACGGGAACAACAAAATTGATATTCCCAGATGTTGAGCCACTCACACACTAAAGTAAGATCTATGGTCCCCTACAAGTGGCCATTCTCCAGGGCATTAGAGAAGAGGCAACCACTTTATCTTGCAATTGTGAGAGCACAGAGGAGGGGGAACAATATACGTGAGGCTCAAGAGAAAAGCCACCAACCCTCCCAACGGGAATGAGGAAGGCACCTGGCTCCTAGCCAGCCCAGAATGCTAACCAAATGTTGCTCAGAGGGTGCGATTCTCCAGCAGGGCAACGCTTCGAGCGACCCCAAGCATTTAAGTGGTCTCATTAATCTTCCTAACACCCTAGATGTAAATAGGTAGGAATAAGGAATTTTGCCTTTCTCCAGGGAGAAAAGCAGTGGTGCAAGAGACCGAGAGAATAGATTCTTCGAGTGCACGACTTGCACAGCTTGGGGGAGCTGGGCTGCCATTCCATTTTTCTGCTCTTATGGAAGTACAAAGCAAGAGTTTACCCAGTTAGAAACG